GAGGGCGTGGACTTAGGGGACGAGGGCGTGGACTTAGGGGATGAGGGCGTGGACTTAGGGGACGAGGGCGTGGACTTAGGGGATGAGGGCGTGGACTTAGGGGACGAGGGCGTGGACATATGGGCCGAGGGCGTGGACATAGGGGCCGATGGCGTGGACTTAGGAGACGAGGGCGTGGACTTAGGAGACGAGGGCGTGGACATAGGGGCCGAGGGCATGGACATAGGGGCCGAGGGCGTGGACATAAGGGCCGAGGGCGTGGACTTAGGGGACGAGGGCGTGGACCTAGGGGCCAAGGGCGTGGACCTAGGGGCCGAGGGCATGTCCTGAGGCTCTCTGGGGAGGAGCAGGGAGGAGGAGGAGGGGGTAGGGGAGGTGCTGCGAGAAGAGGAGCCAATCGTGTCACCGCTGTCCGGGACTTCCAGCACTCGTCTCCTCCTGACACCAGGACTGGGGACAGGGGCGGGTTTCTCTGGAGCCTCCAAGACATTACCACAGTTACCTGAGGGAGGAATCAAAGAGAGGACGAGGGTTTCTTTATGCATCAGTACATTTACTCAAGTACTGTACTTAAGTACAGTTTTGAGGTACTTGTACTTACTTTTTCTGCACTCCAATTATTTGATAACTTCAGCTACTTTACAGATTCAGATAAGAATACAAAATATAATCAACACATGTTTGAATATCATAATATCAATAACAATTCACAAGCAGTATAAAGTATATGTAAATATATTGTAAGTGTATATATATAATATGTATAAATACATTTAAATTAACCATCTACCAGCTGCAAAATGAAGGTGATATACACATTAATTAATCATTAATCATATCTAATCTACTCCAATGACATAGAAATAAAAGACACTTTATTCTAAAATTGGTTGTAGTGGAAAATAAATACTTTTACGTTTAACATATCTTTATGCTAATACTTTTTTACTTTTACTTGTTTGAGGTAGTAAACTCTCCTACTTCTCTCCTGGGATTTTATTCTTGGCTTCAGTGATAAATACAGAGTGGACCAAATAACAAAAACACTTTAATCTCCTCAAGTTCAAGACAATAACAACTCAAACTACTCAGAAAAAACGTATCAACACATATTCATTCAATTTAATTATGAACCGCTCAGTATTTGTTACATGACTATTATATCAATTTCAATGCGTGACGAATTTCTATTAAAAGCAAAAACAATAGAGACGAGAAGGCAAAAAAGAGTGAGAGCAGTGGATTTGGCGACTCACCCATGGAGAACTCGAAGCTGATTGGCTTGTCTCCGATCTTCCTGTCAATCATGGTGGCTTCGAATAGCGTCCCGAACAGCAGGAAGCTCTCGTTGTGGTCCGGATTACGCTGGACAAAGAAAACATGTATTCATTCAGCTGTTTGTCAACGAGAATTATACGTGTCACGGTGAAGCACTTCCATGACCTGAGAATGATCAGTATTATTAGAGGATAAGGAGGGATTTGGAAATGACAATTTGGTGTGACAAAACCATGTAGTATTATTAAATTACTACATCAAGTTTCTATGTTGGGGAATATTAAGGGAATTAAAACACTGCTTACCACAGGAGGAGATTCCACAGGCTGGACTTCTGCAGCCACACCTTTTCCTTTGTCATCCTCGGCGGCTCCTCCTCCTCCTCCTGCAGGAGTCTTACTGTCCTTCCCTCCGCCTTTTCCTGCTTTGGCGTCCTTCGACGGTTTCACCGTTCTGCTGAGTTTGGACTCGGAACCCGCCCCTCCTGACATGATCTCCACTGCCAGCTCCATGTAGATGCGACCCCTGACACCAGCAAGAATTTAGAGGTAATGTATTGTTGATAAGTTCTTTGTCAATTATCAATTTCTCCCATAATTTAATTTGTTTAACATTAACCTGAAGGACACGCCCTCTCCGATGCCCTCATTAAGCTCCCCTGTGTCGTCACCTATCGAACCATTTCTCACAGAGCCGTACAGGTTGATCCACGCAGGACCAAAAGTTGGTAAAAACCCTGGAGAAAGACAAACAATAGTCACCGTGATCCAACCAATGATTCTTCCCTCCTATAATTCCCGTCTGTCCTCGCTTCCTTCCTCAATCGCCTGCGAATATTTGTCATTCCCCTAAAGTTCCCCTTCTTTCTGCATGACTTTATCTCTGCTCCCTCCCCCCCACCCTTCGTCTGTCCTCACCTCTGTCGCCATCCTGTTCATTGGAGATGCGCCTCAAGTCAAAGTAATGGGTTCCGATGGCAACGTCGGTCATGCTTCCCTCATCCCAGACCTGTGGAGGGGAGACGAGTCAGCATGCTGTGATGTCCATACTTGTGTTATGAATAACGTAATTGTATGTTTAAATATGAGAGTCAATTTGTGGGGAAGTTTTGCAGATTGTCAATCCCTCCACCTCCCACATGACAACAGTTCAGACCTGGATCTTCAGTCTCTGACACAGAGGGGGAAACATCTCTGTGAAGACGATCTGCTCGTTCCACTCCGGCTCTGCTGTGGACTTCTGAGTGGATGTGCGACCCTGAGAGGAGGGGGCAGGAGATTAGATGATTTAGACTTACATAAAACAATATTTCAATCATGAAAATAAAAGCTAACCATGAATGACTGAAAGTGGACCAAATGGCTGGAAACAGTATCTTTCCTTAGGACAATGCAGTAGTGATTACTTTTGGTCTAGAACTTTGAGGATAAGATAAAATAATCATGTATTTGTCCCAAAGCAGGAATATTTTCAGTGTTAAGGCTTTTAAATTTGCAACAGTTGCAACAGTTTTTCAAGAGAAGGTGTGAATAGATTTATGCAGGCAATGGACCAACTACCAGGATCCCATTGGCCCCGAGCAGCGTCTGGCAGTCTGTCTGAGGTAAATCGCTGTACAGTCTAAAGCTACTGTAAGCTATTTGGTTGAGCTTCCTTTTAACACAATGTTCTGAGTGAATTTGAGTTCCCTCTGGTAAACGGTTACAGTGTAAAGTAACAGTGTGTATGTTTAGAACTTTTATTGTGAAAGGCACGACAGACGTAATGGACATGTAATGTGCGCCTTTCTTAGGGTTAAATGAAGTAAGAAAATATGATAAATAAATAAACAGTAAAATGCTAAATATGTTACATCTTTAGTTTTAGTGTTTGTAGTCTACTGGGAGCAGTGTTGATTGTGTTTGTACACAATTTCAATAACTGACATTTATGCAAACATGAGCCATTGTTTTCTGCTTCGAATTTGTTCTTGTATTCATAACTATTTAAACCTGTTCCCTGAAATATATGTTAAAATTAAACTTATATAATTTTTTGATGAATAATGAAATTAATTCAAAGAACTGTTAAACTTAAATAAGCATATATAAAAATGTCCGTAATGGACATACAACCCACCACTTGTTTGAAGAAGCCCACCACTACGTATGGGTCTATGAGTGCTGTGTCGCCTCCTATGAAGGCCATGGTGACATTGGCCATCATGCCGGAGTTGCTCCGTGGAAGGCCTTCAGCTCGATACACCTTCACAAAGTAACGAGCCCAGGGACGCTCGGTGGGAAAACCTTCTGGTATCAGCAGGTTCCTGAGGAAAAGGACGGCACAGCAACAAACAAATGTATTTCCACCCGGACCAAATAGATTTATAAAGCCTTTTTATCAACCAGGTTTATCAGCAAAAACAAATTACAGCAAGTCATAAGACTACAAGTCTAAAGCCAGGCTAATAACGCGAAGGCTGGGTTCCACCAACAAGGATTCATTTTTAAAGCCGGTTATTTCATCGTAAAACTTTAAAACTAGCTTAAAATTAGGAAGATTAATTTAAACCTCTCTTCAAACGTCAGATTAAGTTTTACTCAAAACCAAAGTGCGTAACACTCTCAGTGGAGAAAATCTAATATTAATATAATAATATTATAAATAAAATAATACCATATTAAATTTCAACCGAATATGTTTGGTATCTCTGGAGATGTTTTGGTTCTTACAATTTTAAATGACAGTGGGACATTTTAAACTAAAAGGTGAGAGCATACAGTTCCAGAGGTGCTCATGATGTTAAATCTTGTAACTATTATTGCATACCTCTCCTATATCGTGTTCCTGTTTCTGTAACCTGTTCAAGAACACCTGATTAGTCTAATAAAGCAGGAAGACTGCTAATTACAATTTAGAACAAAAGAAAGGTATTATACTTGTTTATCTCCTCCGCAGCATCACTCGATTTTGGTCCTGGCTGGATGGCATCCCCCTTTGCCGAGACGCTGATGTCACACTTGACATAACCTTTGACCCCGGTGTTAATGTCACTAGGATTGGTCAGCATTGCCCACTTGTTGGTGAACCGATGACCTGAGGGAGCGAGAAAGAGACAATGGGTTGACCTCTGAAATCCCTTCGGCTGCCGGTAACCTCTTCTCGAGGTAGACTGAGAGATGCGTCAGAAAGAGGCGAGTTACCTGGCTGTCTGTGAACTGTCCACACATCCAGCTTAAAGGACCCGACACAGAAACTCCTCAGCATTTTGGAGTGCATCACCTGGAAAGAGTGAGATGCACAGAAGAGACAGAGTTAAAGCTTGAAACTGAACCTGACAACCCAGAACTACCAGACCATGAAAGACACATTCAGACATGTAGTGGAAAGAATATGTATTTCACTGACAGATCATAACAGAACACCTCATTGTGTCTAAGTACAAACATGTAGGCATTCTGAATTGATCATTTACAATATATCACATGAAATCTGAACTTATCTTATTTCAGCTTCTTTTTTTTAACTTACCGTCAGCTTGATGACTTTGTCGAAAAAGAGCTCTTTATAGGCAAAGAATTCAAACACGAAATACTGGCGGGAAGAAGAGAAGGGGACAATTGGACAGAGAAATAGATGATTCATTTGGGGTCTCTCAGATCAGTAAAATCCCCCAAAAGGACTTATTCTCACCTCATTGTAAAAGGGAGCATTGGTCGCTTCTTTGACCGAAGTCTGCTTCTTCTCATCGCCGATCTCAATCACCACACTCGGGTCGATGTTTTCTCCCACCAGCTGCCTGGCCTCTGTGATGTTAATGGAAATCTACAGGCCAGACAACAAGTTACATACCACTGCACAAATGAGGAGTTATTCCCAATAAGGCTTTAAAAAAAAAAAAAGACTTTATACTTTACATATGTACATATGGCTCACTTGGTAAGCACATCCTTTCTTGAGCACTTTCATGTGCAGATTTTTCATCAACTTTGTGCACCATAAATGTGTGCTGTTTTGTCTTTATGCATTCAAATGGTCACTTGTGTTGCGATTCATTATTCCTGTTTTCTCTTTATATGTCTACATATTTCTCTCATGATGAGCTGTCACTGCTCCACAGAGTTTAATCTTACATTTGAAATAATACGTAACCCAAACACATAGTCCATAACTGTGTGTGCTGTCACCTGGAAGCTCTGGGGTTTCCCTTCACTCTTCTGGATGCAAGTCTTCAGTTTGGCCCTGTGGAAGTTTCACTGCAGGTCAGAGTCTCAACATCACACAGAAACATAGGCCTGGCAGTTCGGCAATACATTCTGATGTGCTGGTAGATATTGATTTACATTTACTGTATGTAGGCAACTGTACCGAGAGGCACTAAGGCGTAGCACTTTGGGAGAGATTTATAACTATGTTAGTTTTGCTTCTGAAATACGCCCAGTATCTGCTCCCCAGAATACTGTTCATGAAAGTGATGTAACGTGAAAATGTCATACCTTTTATTGTTCGGTATTATTCTGGTTCTGACTGCAGAGGTGTCATGTTGGTCCTCGATGTTTACTTCCGCCAGCAGGGCAGACGCTTCAGAAGGGTCCTCCACCTCACTGTCTGCGCACACTGCACACACACATTAAACAGACACACACACACGCACACAGCTAAACTGCACTCTCAATTACACAGAGTGCATTTTTGTAGTATGGGAACGTCATTTTGTGCGAGACAGGGATGCAATTTGGAAAAAGCTGATTTTTGGGGGGACAGCTTTTGTCCAAAATTGCACAAGCTGTACCCAGTTAACCCGTCTAAAAACAGACTTTACTTTGTACAGCTTGTAGCCATAAAAAATAAAGTTCCTGTCTAACTACATGTACTTTGAGCTTCCTATTAGTGGGAAAGGTCAGTGAGATTATTCAAATTATTTTGATAAACAATGGTCCTCAAGTTTTTTTCCTAAATTTGTTCTCGAGAAAGATCCTAAAAAACGTCTACGAACCGCAGAAGGAAATGACCATCTTAAAATGAATTCATAGAACTCAGGGACGATGACATCCTGTGAGGAATGATGTTCTGTGTGGTCCTCCAAAACCTACATGACCCATAAGTGCTGTTACACCAGTTTTTAACATGTGACTGTTTGACAAGGGTTAGTCTAAGCCACAGTGATATGACAGGAAATATTACTCGATTACACTGTCAATACAACCAAGGTTGTGTTTGTGTGTGTGTGTGTGTGTGTGTGTGTGTGTGTGTGTTTGTTTTCCAGGCCTTACCCATAGCTCCCTTGCTTTCCAGGACCGGGCCTGTGTTGACTTTCTTTTTCTTCTTCCCTTTCAGTCCAATCATCAACTTGGCCTTCCTGCTCACAGAAGAGGAAGATGACTTTTAGTCTGCAAATCTTATTTTCAACCCTCTCTCTGCTACGAGATACCTACAACTACAGTGCACTGAAGAGAAACAATGCAAGAACCACTCGAGAAGTTGACGCTTTCACCAATATTCTCGTGTTTTGAAATTCCTCTTAGGTACGAAAACAACCTACAAGTGGCCCAGCCCCGTCGCAGGAGTCATGTGACATTACTCTGCTGTTATAGAAGTTTTTCACAAATAGATTCTATATGTTATTACTCTTGAAGCTATTTTGAGTTTGAAAATATATAAATTACAAATCATAATATGTTAACTTTATCCTGTTTGACTTTGCTATATGATTAATAAAGCCTAACAATATCAGCATTCATTTAAATTGGCTATTGATGCTATTGTTTAACACTACAACTTCAATATGAACATCTTAAATTATTTGACACCCTAATTGCCCATCATAAGACAGCGTTGTTCCAGACAAATCACTTTGTTCTTTTTGTTGATTTAGATGTATGTATGTATGTATGTATGTATGTACAGTATGTATGTATGTATGTATGTATGTATGTACAGTATGTATGTATGTATGTATGTATGTATGTATATATGTATATATGTACAGTATATATGTATATATGCATGTATGTATGTATATATGTATTTACAGTATGTATGTATGTATGTATCATACATACATACATACATAATGTATGTATGTATGTATATATGTATTTATCTCAGATTCTGAAAACTGATTCTGTTACTATGAACGGTTGCAGTAAGTATACCCAAAAAGTCATAAAAGGAAAATTGCATTGCATTAAAATCCCTTTAAGTATTCCCTTTAAAAACAGCCTAAAATACTCTTTAAATTAACTATTACAAAAAAAATGACTGGGAATACATTAGGGCTGCAACAACGAATTGATAAAATTTGATTATTAAAAGAGTTGGCAACGAATTTCATTAGCGATTCGTTGTGTCGCGTTGTTCACATCAAATGCCATGTTCACACCTGCTTAGTACGTGTTGTGGAAGTCACAGATATCCCGGGAAACTAAACGCGGTCATGTCTGGTTCATAACATTGTCCAGAGGAGCTCTGTGGATTTTATCAAAGTGTATTCACTGTGTCTAGCAAGCCACACGTCGCTGTTTACTACAGCTGTATGAACACAAAATAAACTGATATGGCTGTGATTTAACGAAATAACTACGTAATGACGCCGATTTGTAGGCTACTTGTCTTCTCAATGAAGCTCGGATGGATCGGTGCTAGGCTAAGCTAACATTGTAGCAGCTCCACCAACACTCAGAATAACGTCATGTAGACATAAATACGGCAGCGTCTATTCATTGTTTGTACCATATGGTTTACACGCACACATTTATACACATAGTTTAGTCTCTGTTGATATGAGGTATCGTAGAGCTCTGGGTGAACACAGACGGCTACAGGATTTATTTCCTGATTCAACAACGGCAGTCAGTGATGACAGGAGAAACATCTCAACGCTGATAGGCCATCTCGCTGGGGCGAAGTCATCCAAGGTGTGGGAGCATTTCACACTAAATAAATCGAAAAAGTGTGTTAATTGCAAGATATGCGAAAGCGACATGGCATGGCACGGGAGCACCACGGTGATGATTCAGCACCTAAAACGAAAACATGTTGGAGTCCTTGAGGAGGAGGAAGGGAGTTCAACAGCAGGGATAGTCACTACAGAATCCTACTTTTGTTCTGTTTTGAAGTGAGGAACGTAACGTCCCTCCAGTAGCTCTTCTGGTGCTGGTGTTTACTCGTTATCCAGCTTGATAAGCATGACAAGTTAGCGTTAGCTCGTTAATAACAGTAGTAAAGCAGGGGTGGTATAGTTTGCAAGACTAAAGACATGTTTTTATTCACTCGCCTTTTTTGGCCCATTAATATCCGATTCATCGATTAATCGAAAAAATAATCGCCAGATTAATCGATTATTAGAATAATCGTTAGTTGCAGCCCTAGAATAAATACAATTGAAACTAATATAATTTTTTTCCAACTTAGTGTTACCCTTCCTCCACCATCCATCTCCAAGAACAGGATGAAATACAACTTCAACTGCAATTTTAGAGTATTTCATTTAACTGACAATAAATCCAACGGGGACGTTATTCCGATAAATAGTCAGTTAGATGCAACAAAATGTTTCAAAACAAAAATCCTTTGAACAGCTCACCGCCGAGTGGATGCAGGGCTTTCTGAGCGATCCATTCTGCCGAAGTCCAGAGAAGTTTTCTTTTTCCACTAACAGGCACCAGCAGGGTTCAGGTCCTTCAGTTAACAACTAAACAACTCACGTCTGGTGGCTTTCCTGCCCTCTGAGTGCTGAAAGGTGTCAGAGGATCCCTCTCTCTACTCAGACTGAAACATAAGACACTGTCCCTGTCTTGAACAAAGCTGAATATCACTACATAACTGCACTGTCAATAAAGACTTATCGAAACTCCCTTCAACCCGTCCTCCCGGAAAACCCCTGCTCACTCTCCACGCCTGACTTCTCACGCAAACATAATTAACTTCATGCTGTGTTAGATATCCTGACCGTGCAGCTCAGCTGCTTCCTAATAGCTTCAAAGAAAATATTTTGATCCGGTCTGGCCCAATGTTTAACTTGCTGTGGTGTGTTGTGTTAGTATGTGATTTTAGGTAAAATGAGCCGCCCTCCTCGCTGTATTTAAGAGCTGTTCTCACGTCTGAAAGTTGTATAGATCACTGTTTACTGACGCTGCCTCCACAGCCTGAATGTTAGAGAGGATTTCAACCCAGCAGTGGTTTCTCCTTCAGTTCACATTTTACAGGTGAGAGGGATGTTGGAAATATCTTCCTCCTTTACCAAGAAAACGTAACCAATTACAGGTAGACAGATATGATTGAAGTTGAACATGTTTGGCATTGTTAGCAGAACCAGACAGAGTGGACGGATGCTTATATTTATTTAATATTTTATGTGCAACTGGTATTTACTGCATGGCTCAATAATAATACACAAGAGGCAGCACTAAAGATGGAATAAATCAATATTCAGTATTTTAGTTGTTGTCAAAAGAATCCCATGAAAAGACTAAAACCAACAACGGATTAGTCCGTCTCTCAAAACGTTTTGACTTCTTCTGACTGTCTGTGGCGCTCAGCCCCAAGCCCTTTGGTTCCTAGTGAAGACATGCATCTTTAAAAAACTAATAATAATTTTGGATTTTTCCAGTAGTTTCGTAAAACAACAGGTCACTGTAGTTTTAATCAAACAGCAGGACATTGTATTGCATCCGTCAGGGTCTATTTTCAGCCACGGATGAATGTGGGTTTGATGCACAAATAAGAATAAGAAGATATATCTGGCAGCACTTGTTTGTAGGAGCAATTTGAGAATATCAGCTCATCATCAGGCTACAGGGAACAAGCTTGTTTGCTCACTCAACTCCAAAATCTATATTGGTTTTATGTAACTCCCGAGGCTTTATTAGTCTTCTGTGGTGGTCATAAAAAGGACATCAGAATGAAAACATGAAGACATACTGCAGAAAAACAAATACTTTCACAAGGGAAAGGCAAATCCCCATGTCCTCTAGTGGCTCGTATTCACCATGAACAGAAGTCATGTTGTAGTGTTGAACTTTTTGTGATCACAGAACAACTCCTAGAAACCCAATCGACGAAACAGCTTGCTTGACATTTAAGCAGCATATTAACAGGAACGCCGCAGAAACTTGCTGTCAGTGTCTGCATGGAAGGAGTTCGTGCAGATTATTGCTGTATTGGTCACCTGCTGTTTGCACAACACACAATCACTAGTGGTTCTGTGTGTCGTACTGTAAATCGGAAGAAAAGAGCGTGAAGCCTAAAAAGACGCTATGGGTTGTGTTTACGCCATTACATCGCTTTTTATGTACATGGAGGGCTTACTGAACCGGCACAACTTCATTTGCTTTCGCCGTTGTCTCTAAAACAAATGCTTGTGCGCTCACAAATAAAGGCACCAACACGTTTGGTTCTAGTTCTGACTGCGACAGCAATATTTAAATATCACTAATGCAACAAATACTTAAAATGTATTTATATTCAGGTGCACATTTTCCTGTATGCCTTCTCTTTTTTGTATATGTTAAATAATTGTTGCATCTGATGGCAACCAAAGGCCAATTTCTGAAAATGGTTACCAATGGCTTTTTTATTTTTTATAACTGTATTAGTTCAATATATGGATTTTGTCATTTTGGTGAGGAGTTGTGCTTTACAATAAATAAAGGCCTTGCAGGATGATTTATTTGTCAGAAACTGGAGCAAACTTTTTTTAAATGTCCCCTTTGACCCTTGGACCAATAATAGCTCTGCGTTGGGTTTCGGGTCAGTGCAGGAATGTTGCTCACGGTCGCGCCCGAGCACAATCCAGGAAGTCTAGTTTGAGTAACACATCTATGAGTTCGGAGGCATGTCAGGTGCTAAAACATTGCACAGCTGTTCACTGACGATTGTACAACTCATTTTATCCTCAGTCTCAAGGATCAACAGGTGAACTTTAATGTAAATGACCACATTTTCATTTAAAAAGTGATCTACCAGGAATGAGGGCTTGCGCATGTCTGATACATGTAATAATATAGTTTGTTGCTGGATGACATTGCATTTGGTTGTTTTCTCTCATTGAAATGAATGAGGACACTTTGCTATTGTCTATCCTCACAGGTCTGTGTGGTGCTGATACATAAGACCCTAAAACTCTCCGTCCATGTGACTTCATGTTTACTGCAGTGTAAACCTACAACAACTACAATCTTTGAATATTTGAAAGCCTCTTTTACGTTCTCTTTTTTTTAGGTTTGGTCTCACGCATTCAGTTCAGGTTGGCAAAAATCAAACCACAGTAAAATAAACAAAATGAGCCTGTTGACTCCACAGCAAGCAGCGCTGCAGTGATGAGAGGGCAGAGGAGGCCTCCTACCTGAGCTTGGGATCCATTTCTGCAGTCCGGAGCGTTTGCTCAGAGACAAAGTTGGATGTTAAGGTGAAGTAACAGCCTGAGCTCGTGATTGGTGGCCGAACTGTTTGTTCAGGGGATGAATTTGTAAAGCAGAGAGAGCGGGAGGACGGTGCGTATCTGCTGGAAAGTTCAAGAGCAAAAGAGTCTGCAAGTTCACCTTCATTTTATACATTTTTATTACATTATGATTTTTTTATGGTTTAGCTTGGTAGAAGTAGTTGTTGCAATAATGGTGGAAGCGGTATCAGTAGTAGTTTGAATACTGTTGGCAGTGGCAATAGTGTGGCATTGCTATTATTCCTTATCATTGCATGTGAAATAATCCGGCGATTCAGATGTTAGATGACATGCCGCTTCCTCCTGAAGTTGATACTAATGTTACAATCACATTCATCAGTTGTCATCTGCATATAGGAGAAGTTTACTTAAAGGCTTTCTGCTAGAAGGGTTTATTTGAACCCAAACCACCATCTTTTCCTAAACAAATAACCAGATAGATCTATTGCCGAAACCCAAAGAGATTTCTGGCAGGAAGAAACCCTTAAGATCACATATGGAGGATTGTCAGAGCTATTTACCTAATGTGTGTGTGTGTGTGTGTGTGTGTGTGTGTGTGTGTGTGTGTGCGTGTGTTCATGTAACCTGGTATATCATGTGACCAGGATGTATGAAAGTGGTAGAGTTAACAAATCCACCCCTGGTAAACAGAGCAGTCATACCTCATCAGCCAGATGCACATCAGCTGTCTTATCACCTGAAGGACTTCATGTACTCATGTATTATACAACAGCTGGACCGCAATATATCTACAAAACACAATTTAAAGTAAAGATTTTATGTAGAAAAAAAAGGATAAATGTTTTGCTTTGAAGTGTATCCGTAACTGCAATAAATATACCCTCAGAGACACTATAGTTTTACTTTTTAATAAGGTCATTTAAATCTGATATGGTGGAGAACATAATAATAATAACAAGGTAATAGAGGCGTTATTATCATGTGAACAATAGTGTAATTTATGGGTAATGCCAAGGGAATTCCAAATGTATTAGCCTGTTAGTATATTGTTACTAATTTGTGGTAATGTTGTGGTTTAATTCCTGTAACAGCTTTAAAATGGAGCAGCAACATGAGGGTAACATCGGGTAATAAAAAGAAGACAACGAAAGGTGTGATAAGAAGGGATTGTATATTAGCAAACAGAAATAATAAGGGAATAGGGATGATAATAAGGTAATATACTAACAAGGTGAAGGTATCACTAATTAATCGTAGGTAAGTATAAGTGTAACAACCTAACAATTACATGAAAATGATGACAGAGCATAAACGCATTTACGAAAATGTGATCACAATTCCAAGATTCAATATTTTCAAGACATTAATGTATAATTTTGAATCATTCAAAGACCAGAAAGTCAAGTGCAAACCATTAAATCAAACTTATTTTTTTCATATTATATAAACAACTTAATTTCCATCCAACCCACACGACCTCATAGATTGTTTGTTCCAGCTTTCTACCCTCTAATGCCACCCACGGGAGCGTTTTCTCTAAATGAGCTCCTCCACCGGTGGCAGGAGATCAGCGCGTTGTCATAGTTTTAAAAATGTGGGTAACATTGTGAAACAATCGCAGTTTGGTTAGTTTTAGGAAACAAAACTAATAAAACACAGCAGAGGAAAACAAATTGCCATCACCAGATAACCTGTCAATCACAGCACAGGAGTATTATCCAATCACAGTACAGTAGGGAGAGACTTGGCGGAACACTCTTGAACATAAAAAATACCCCGACCTCCTCTCTACGCCGACTTTGACACTCTTTATACTACGTCACCTGACTTCCTCCTCTTCTCCTGTGATAACTACTACGACTACTAGAGGTTCCTGGGTAACAACAGGTGTAAATATAGGTTTTAAAAAGCTGGGGTCGTCTTTTGGGGGAGTCTCCAATATCCCCCCCAAAAATCAAATATAAAGCATTTGTCATGGTCAGTTAAAAAAGTCTCTGGATCATCAGTTTGAAGCTGCTTTCCAGCCACACCTGTGATATAGTTCGTCACTGGTAGCTTCCCAGCACACCCACAGTCTTCTACTGGCTGCCACTGAGCCGCATCACTCTGCTATACAGTGCCTTGCTCAAGGGCACATTAATGCTGCTCATAGAGAAGGTTGATTTTCACTTTGTCTTTACATATTTGTCTTCCGGACTGGGATTGAAACCATTAATCTCTTCGCCAACTCATAGTTGTGTTTAGCGTGATCAGTCTCTGGTTCTCCTCAGTCCTGACATCACGATCCTTCGTAAATATCTGGAAAAGATCGAATAACAGAGGAAAGGTTTGTCTCATTTACGTTTAAATTATTATACCAAGTTTAACTTTTGTGGGATGAGAAACTATGACCTCATTTCAACAAATGTTTAGTCGAATGGTGTTGCCACGTAACTAAGAAACACAATCTGATACCATTTTAAAAAATTCAATACAAAGAATTTATAAGTCGATTTAATATTGACAGCGTTTGAAGACAGAGGACAAGCACTGAAGCACAAAGCCTAATGCTACAGACCATTTCATCAAGGCTGAAGATCAAAGACGTGTTCACATCATATCAGAGGAACCAGGGGAACGTACTGCATTCAAACAACCCGGGTGGATTTAAGTGTTTCCATTGTTAGATCAGCCGTGAAATCAGATATTGGCGGCACATCTTTTTGATCACATGTTCTTTGATAAAACAATTTTCTGTCTTCTGGAAGCAGATGTGACCACCACTGGAAGACTTGTAAAATCAAATGGGAAAGGTCAAAGCCGCACAATCTCACAGGAAAACAAATAGTTCCTCCAAGATGGCGGCTTGAAGTTAGGGTAAATCTGGTATGATGTTAATGCAGCATACTGTAGTGACATGCTGACAGATCTTCAGCCTAACATGTTGGGTCCATTAAGTAGCAGCTTTCGATCACAGCACATGATCTTCATTGGCAGACGGATTTTGCCCAGTTATTATATGTTTTAGCTATAAGAAGTCTTAAAGCTTCTCCAAAAAAGAAAACTAGAATTCTATGAAAACCAGGCAAACTCGTCTGCTGCATTCCAGACAACTCAAGATCGGAAATTTCCCAGTTGAAATTTCCAACTTCGGACCTCCAAGCGTATGAAGGTATATTTGTGTCTTTATTACGCAAACAAAAAAAAATGTTTTAAAAGCAAATTTCTCGCACTGCAATCAAAAATCCAGTTTGTAAGTGAAAATATATAAACTGAGAATAATTTATTTGTTAGTTTCTTTGGTTAAAAAAATAAAATCTTTGGTTAAAAAATAAAATCTTTGGTTAAAAACAAAACAATCTTTGGTTTCAAAACGAAAATTTAGCCCCACAGTGGGGCTAAATGTCAACACAGCAGCCCTCCATGTCGTTCTTGAAGTGCTGCTATATTTAAAATAATTTTGACAAAACAGAGCAGTCAACTTACCTCCACGTCGCCGTAACCTCCCGTCTGTGTTTAGATGATGCAGATACCGAGAGACAAGTCAAAGCGACCAATAGAAACTCCTGGTACATTCAGCAGCGTATGCCCCGCCCACTACACCCAACTCAGCTTTTCGTTTTGAAACCAAAGCTTTTTTTTCAACCAAAGATTGTTTTGTTTTTAACCAAAGATTTTATTTTTTAACCAAAGATTTTATTTTTTTAATCAAAAATTCTAGTTTCATAAGCAAAACTAACAAATAAATTATTCTCAGTTTATATATTTTCACTTACAAACTTGATTTTTGATTGCAGTGCGAGAAATTTGCTTTTCAAACATTTTTTTTTGTTTGCGTAATAAAGACACAAATATACCTTCATACAAGCGTCCCATGAGCACAGCAACACCGGAGGCCGAGCTTGTTCTGAACAGGCACTGCAATAGTCCCCAAAACACAAACCCCTTAAATGTTTAATGAAATCTAAATATTATTATGCCATCACTTCAATTGTATGAGCACAGACACATCTGTCCCCAGATGTCAACAGATTCCTGAAGCAGAGATGGGTGGGAATGGTACAACATAAGAATGGAAATCCCAGCATGTGTCACCTTGATGGTAAAGGATTTGAGATTCACTGCGTTATTGAAGTATATTTAGCTCATTTTAAGTCATTTACTACATTAATATACGTTGAATTGACAATAAAACTTTAGTTGGGAACAAGGATCACAGGTGTGCTTCCTTTAATGCAGATGCAGTAAATACTTGGGTACCAATTCCCCCTCACATGATCCATTTGGAGAATCTACAGAAGAGCCACAACAGGCAGCAGCAATTCAAAGGAAATGTGAAGATGCAAGCCGCCAACCAGCAGCTCAGGCTGGGCTTCCTACCTGGGATGTGTTGGCTAAGAGTCGCTGGTGGCATGGTGGTTTCAGAGGAGGAATTTCAGCACGAAGACGATGGGGGGGGGTGTCGGACTTTGTAGAACATGGAGGATAGGGAAACTGCTTGGTTGGTTTGGTAGTGGAGGTAAAAGTGGATTTTTGTTTATTTGACAGGGGCAGGATGCATCAGAGCAGACTCCTAGAGCACTTTGTTTGATGCTTCAAATGAGAGTTTTAGAATAAATGTAAGGAGGTTATTGATAAGGCCCTCATCGTCTTCAGGAGGATGAATAGTTGAAGATGAAGTAGACTTTGTGTATGTAGGAACATGAGCGTTCACAGGACGAGGAGGAGGAGCAGAGATCGCCAGAAGGAGAAGGAAGCTTTTCGAAGATTTGAAGGCTGATAACCGGGGAATTCAGAGAAAGAGCAAGAGGTGAATGAAAGGGTTGGAGTCAGGAGTACAGAGCATCAATACCTGCAGGAGTGAGAACCAAGGCCTGTAGAAGGTCAGATAGAGAGACAATCCCTCTCACCACATCATCAGCGTCCACCAAAACCAAACGATGCACCTGAAAGAAAAAGGATGTATTCATAATGCTTCTACAGCCAATCAAGATAAAATGAACCATTTTGCACCACACACTGTAATGGTGGAAAGAGAAGGAAAGAGAAAGAGAAACAAGAAACTGGAAGGTTACAGTTCTAAACAGTAAATTTAAATGCTCACCATGGTATTACACAGTCTCGTACCGGTTTTAAAATTAGCGGTGAATGCAGTTATTTTAAACGCAAGAAATCCCGCTAAAAAAATAGTTGATGGACTCTTTTCCCATTGCCTGTAGACGAGAAGCGTTTGTTTTGTTTTTCTGCTGCGTCAGATTCAACGTCACGAACGTGCCAGAAAACAGGGTTAGTAAACACGTTGATGTAAAACATCATTTTTTCATATGTTACTTAAGCATTCTCCTTTTAAACTCTCTCGACACAATTCATGTTTCTGTCAATGGAGTCGGGTGGCTTTGAGCAGCGCATGTAACGCCGGTTTCTTTTCACATCCAACTTGATGAACCAATTCCAACCAAACCAGAGTTGGTGATTGTTGGAACAGTGGAAAGACGAACCAAGACAGTGTTGATGACATTTATTTTGTTTCTTACGTTTGAATGAAGTGTGTTTCGATGACCAACGTTGTAAAACGACTGTTGTCTGAATGGAGTCTGGTGGCTTTGAGGAGAGCAAATTAATTGTATGTTTTGTGTGTTAGTAAATTATAATTGCTGTCCAAATCCCTGTTGATTTTATTTATACTGTATATATATATATATATATATATATATATATGTATATCAGTATGTGCATGTTATTCCTACTAGATAGAATAAAGATTTGTCAGTCCGACTGTTGGCACATGTGCGTTACCTCAGCCTTAGCAATGCGGTCGATGATGGTCTCCAGTGTTTCGTGAGGGTAACACTTGAGGACCCCCTCCATACAGCAGGCTCTGGAGGAAATGGCTTCCTGCATCGTCATGTTCAGGTTGTTGTAGTTCTTCTGGGCGGCTAAGTTCTGAATGATAGAGAAGAAAAATATATTCATGGTGATTCTTCCTCACTTAATCTATGCTTTTGTGAAATTGAGGAACTATTTCTAGATCGTACAAATTCATTCACAAGCAATCGCACAATATTTTCTATTTTTTACTATTTATCTATTTTTTACAATACAGTCTTTCTGAGTTGTAATCACAATCGAATTGTTGTATTTTATTTCCAAAGTGAACAATGAAATGTCAACTAGACAAAAAGAACAATACAACTATTTGACTGAGCATGACAAGAGACTGATGAGTGAAACTAACTTACAATGACATCAAACCTGGAGTACAGCGCCACCACTTTACCTACAGAGGAGACACACAGAGATGTAAGGAACATAGACGGCACACAACAGAAACACATTATGCAGAAAGTAAAATCAACACTGCATGGAAATCACACGTTCTACTGGCTGCTGATGAAACACACAATAGAAAATGTCATCCACTCTTGACTATTGACTGCTGGCCTGAAGGGGAAGCTTCGGGCTAAGAGTAGAAGCCAGGAGTCACAGTAATAAAGTGTTCCAGAATGAAACCTTCCATTTACTCAACTGTGGTTTAAATACATTAAAGAAATAAAAAAAGGCCCTTTTTAAAACAACCAGATGTCCAGAGTGATGTCAGCTTACCTTGCTCGTTGACGACGGGCAGAGCGGACACTCTTCTCTCGACAAAAATGGTCAGAGCGTCGAAGACAGACGCCGATTCCTGGACAGTCGCAATCTGTTTGAAGGTACCGATCGCCACTTCATTGATCCGCTTCTGAAGAAACCTGGGTTTAGGAATCTTTGATCGCTGGAGGGGAGGAAAGACAACCACTACAGTACATATAAACCAATCATTTAAAATAATTTCAAAATAATTTCAAAATAATTTAATAGAAATCCTACAGACCAGGAACTGCACTTTTAGTTTTACTGTATATATATTTATGTATTATGCTTTTCAGAATAAAATAAAACATTTATTTTATTGTGAAATTGTATTATTTTATAGGGATGATAAATCTCCCATTTTTTCTTCTTATTTGTAGGAAGTTTTCAGAATCCTGTGTTTTTAATGACAAAGAAATGCATGCTTGTTGTACAGCAAGCATGAGGAATTGTAATCAATATTATGTGGATGTTTATTGCAAAAGGAAAAAGTCTTACAAAGATGTGGAGGAACTTGAGGATGCGTTTATGAGTGAGGATGTGGAGGACATTTCCTGATGCCGGGTCGATGACCGGCAGTCGGTGTATCTTATTCTTCAACAAGGAGTAGATGGCGTCAAACAGACTGAGGAGACAATAGAACTCATGATGAAGGTTAGAATAATTACAAGTGAGGATTGTACCATGAAATGATAAGACACACTATGGATTTGGTCCTCTGTTATGAGGCAAGAATAACTGACAGACAGCAGGAAAGATGCCTGGTTAAGCTAAAAATATGACTCCTGTGGTTGCAAAAAGAAGTCTGGTTGTATAGAAGTCTATGAGAAAATGACTCTACTTCACTCTTGATGTATTACCTCAGTAAACATTGTCATGTATATTGCATTTTAAATGATGAAATGTAACTATGACCCCCGACTTTGATGAATTATTTCAAAGACTGGTTTCACCTGCAGTCAGGAGTGATGCTGATCAGTCTGTTGGAGCACTGTAGATAGATCTCTGCAGAGAGAGAGAAACACAAGTTATTAACACAAACACATGAATAAATGAACTATATAAGGATATGGTCGTGTTGTACGGACCTCTCCATGTCTCTATCTTGTGTTCTTCCAGCTCATAGATCTGAACCTGCAGACAAAAACAAACATCATCTCAGCATCTGAATGACAGTGTGGATATGTGATTTGTATTCATAGCTTTTTTGTATAACTGGACGATTTGACACCACTGTGGCCTGATGTGTTTATTTGCTGCAAATGTTTAATGCAAAGGTCACACAGCTCACCAGAGGAGACTTGTAATAGCGATGGAGGATGTTGATGAAGTCAGTGATGGTCAGCATACCTGCACACACACACACACACACACACATTGGAAACAAGGATTTATCAGTATGTCAACAGCAATAAAAGTCAATTATCTCTCGCAAAGTTTCTTCCTTATCACATGACTCCATTATTATGACTCACTGTCAGTTCGGCTTCTCTAATGTGGGCATTATGGGTGTTGTACTGACAGCGTTTATCTTTAAATAAACAATCCATTACCACTTGTAGGACAGAAACATATTGAAGTGACAAATCGTTTCCATACTTCCACCCATTTTCTGGGGAACTTTAAGATAGGATGCACTGGAAGGGTGAGCAAAATAAAATACAATAAAAGGCCTACAGGTTGATATGCACAAGAAATACAAGAAATACAAAAGCATTAGTAAGGAGAACAATGGCCGTTACCTGACAAGGATCTTCGTCAATTATCTCGTGAAATTATTACTCTGCTCTAACAAACTTTAGATTGTTGCCCACTAAGGATCTAAATACATGTCTCCGTTCTTTATACTGTGTTTTCTCTGCTTAAGAAGCATTGTAACCTCACTGGGGTGTTAGCGTGACTTTATGTCGAAAGTCTGGTTTTAATCTTTTGAATTGAGTCAGTTGAGTCAGGCCGATGAAGGTGCACTCGACACGCATGTTTGAGGCTGTTGCCGTTTCTATTCCGAGCAGAAAATGAACACTCGCTAACCTGGTTTACGTGTTCAGTAGCGGTGTTTGTAATGTAACACAAATGTCTTGTAGTTGACCTGCTTCCCTATTAATGTTGGCCGGCATCATTTGCAACCACCGATCTGCACCAAGGGAACCTGAACCCTCAGAATACTGGGCTTCAGCCCGATGTAGGTCACACGCCTATTAAATGGTGGCACGTAAGGAACCGCAACACTTCTTCAGTTCATGAAAGAACCCAAAGGTACATTGTAAATATTCATCGAGTTCATTTTCTTCTGTATTTATTCAGGCAGACCTTTCCGGTTTATTTAGACTGGCTAACAATAATTAAACACACAAACACACTTTATAAAAGCAATTTTCGTAATTTTCTAGATTGATATTTTTTTTTTTAAACACGTGCATGATAGCACAGACACATCCCTCTTCTATAATCGTGGAGTTGAAACAGGAGGTAGCTCTGCAAGGCATGAAAGAATAAAACTAGGTATCATTATTATATTATAATTTCCAAAAGGTTTAGATCGGTGGGTTAGATTGGACGCAAAATATTGAAAATAAAACCCAGGTTGCTCAAGATGTTGAAAATGTTTTAACAGGTCATGATTATAATGTGGCTTTCCCTGTTTTCTCAGTAAGTTTTGCACATTATTATGCAATGTATAAGCATTTTTATGCCTCTTTAAGGGGAGCGTAATTATGGGCGGGGACACTGATGATTCGGTAAACTTAGATCATTTGTGTACTGTATACCTCTGTATTAGAGTGTATGTGTATGCAGGATAGACAGAGACGTATTAGGGCTCACCCACAAAACACTTCAGCTTGCTGTCCCACAGTGGAGCGGCCCTCACCCCGTTAGCCACCAGAGCAAAGAAAGCCTTCTTCACCTGACATGAACACACACAGCGTTTTTCAATAATTACAACCCAGAACACTCATGCAGTTGTGGGTCTTTTGCTGTTAAAAATAGTATTCCATATTCCATACCTGCAGTGTTGTGTCAAAAATGACCAGTTTGGAGCTGGTAGGCATGGCATCGTAGCAGAAGTGACTCTTCATGAAGTTCATGTATATGAACGTGTCAGAGTCTGTGCCTGCAGAGGGCGCAAGAGCATGTGTTGCATACGAACAGCCAGCTACAACTAAACAACTGAAAACATAGGATTAACAGGCGGAAACCCTCCGGGTCTGAAAAGTGAAGCGAATGTGGAAGATCATAAAACTTGCATTCTCTCTAGTGACCACCAGGGGGCGACTCCTCTAGTTGTATGGTAGTCTATGAGAAAATGACTCTACTTCTCTCTTGATTTATTACCTCAGTAAACATTGTAAACATGAGTTTATGGTCTCAATCTCTAGTTTCAAGTCTTCTTCAATACAGCATGATGTTCATTTAGTACATTATGGTCCATTTAGAGTCACACAGACCATGAAGCAGGGTATGCTTTAGGGGCGGGGCTACTGTGATTGACAGGTCTCTACCACGGCATTGTCCGATCTGGGAGTTGTCCGTGTTTTTGTCTTATAACTTTAACCCTTTCACAGTGAGTTTTCAGTTCATGAAAGTGAATTGTCACATTTTGGTTGCCTAAAAAATGTCTTATTCAGCATTCAGTTTGACTTAGCTCCTCCCTCTCGTGTCACTTCTGGTTGCAAAAAGCCAAGATGGCGACGGCCAAAAAGCTGAACTCAAAGCTTCAAAACGTCAGTCCACAAACCAATAAGTGACGTCACCGTGTATTTGATCTGGGCATCAGCATGTGGTTTTTCGTAATCAAGTCAGCCTGGTTGGAGTTTGTTTGCACATCGTCACTGCTGCCAGGAAACACAGTGAGCTGTGACAGTTGTGATGACAGTAGGCTGTAGAGGTAGTTTAATAAGCTCAGGAATAGAAGTTAAAAGGTTACAAAATGTTCTCTTCTTTACCTCTGCTCTTCGTTGACAGAGCATGCTGTTCCTCTTCCTCATCCTGGTCCATCTCAAATAACGGGACCTGGGAAAGGAAGTAGATCAACAGTGAACACCGAATCAACTCAACACACAGCTCTGCAATGACCCTCATCCAGGACAGGCATCGGCGTGATGTTCCCCGAGGGCTTGTTTGGAACTCATGTCGCCAATTCACCCTCTGACACGTCCATTAGAGACAAGTAGTTAGTACACACATGGTTGTTATAGAAGCAGCTGTGAGGAGTTTCTATAGGTTGGCTGGTGCATGTCATGGCAGGAGACCAAGAATCTGCTGGTGGACGTCAGCGTTGAGGTTGTGGTTGCCACAACTGACTCCACAGTCTTTTAATGAAGACAGGCTGCCTTCATGAGAGTGAGTGAGTGAGTGAGAGAGAGAGAGAGAGAGAGAGAGAAAGATAGAGTGAGAGATAGAGAGAGAGAGAGAGAGAGAGAGGTGGATGCGTCCAGAGCAGACAGCTGGTGGAGATCTGGGCAGAGGAGCAGTAAAGCTGTCAAGTGGTAATAAATGTAAAGTCAGTGTTGGTTTCACTTTGAACATAAATATACACTGCAGCTCCTCCAGCTCCTTGAGGCTGTAGGCATGTTCCTAATTGTCGGGGGAGCTCACCTGGGTCTGTTTTACAAAGTCATTTGAACTACACAGTAACACTTTGGATGACTAATCCAGAACAAATTGTATTAAATTAAAGCAGTCCTCAATTATTTGCCTGAAACACAGCGTAACCCTGTCATAAGACTTCAGTAGACTTCAGAACAAATATGACTTGGACCTCTACAGAAGATAACACGTGAACATTTAAAATCCAGAAGTCACATAATACACACTACTGTTTACTAACCCGGTAACAATTTGGCCACAATTTAGCATATTGACCAGACACGGTCCAGCCATATATTAGGTCTTATTGAATGTGGTGTTTGGCAGTAAACAAACATTGACAAAATTAACATTATACATAAAAAAAACACAGAAAATGTGAACAAAATGAGAGAATAAAGACACTAAAACTAGATTCAACAGAATGATTGAAAGAGTAATGAAATACAAATCAAGGTTTCAGGTACTCTGTTGACATCTCACAGCTGATCAGCTAGAAATAGAACCAGCGTATGCACACGGACACTGTGCTTAGGCCAACAGACAATATTGTGACTATGATTTACTTTTAGATGGTAAATTAAGACAAGTATAAAAAGTAAACATGCAATGTAAAAGAAGCGCTGAAGTGTTTTTTCTTTGCAGCTTCTCAGTTACAAAGCCCTGTCCAAACACACAGCAACCAGGGGGCGGGGGTGAGTAAGCAGAGTGTCTTACCTCTGCAAGAGGCTCCATGGTTTGGGGAAGAGGAGCAGAAAGGCAGCCTCTCTGGAATCAGACCGACTGGCGAAACCCTGGACTACAGCGCCCGACCCGCTGTCCCACTGGGACATCTGTCAGGCACTCCTACCATGTCTGATAAAGAAGTCCCGGCATAGTGAAGAAGGGCTGAGACGGGTCGGGAGGAAGGAAGGAAAGGAGGAGGTATTGGACGAAAACAGAATCTGTGAACCACCGGCCAGCTTCAGCCAGCAGGGTGTGAATGTCTGGGAAAGACTGAGGTCTAAATCCGGACTGAGGGGTGAGAGGCCTGTGGCATTCACAAAGAGAGAGAGGAAGAGAGCGAGAGAGAGGGAGGGAGAGGAAGAGGGAGGGGAATCATGTGGAGGGAGAGTTGAGGCAGCTAAAGACAGACACATACCCTAGTATGGTGACAGACATTATCAAGCTCTTCTTTATCATCCATTGGTGAGAACTTCAGGTGGCAGCATGAAAACCAGACGCAGGGGAAACAAAGGCCAGAAACGTCATCGCTGTCACTTCAGTTGGATAAGAAGAGCCGGATCTCCAGTAAAGTCGAATCATTGAAATCTAAACTGATGATTTGCTTTGATAAATGGTCAGATGGCAAAGTATGTGCAATCTGTGATCATGCTATTTATGCAGCAGTTTATGTGCTAAAACATGCAAAAAAAACCTTTTGTACCAGCTGCTGACTTTGTCTGTCGTTTGGTGTTGAGCAGGTCAAGTACACATGGAAGTTAAAGGCTGGAGAACTAGAATGCTCCGTAGAGCCGAGCTGTGGGTTCGTACAAAACAAGGGACAACTTTCACATTTCAGTTATTTAATTTTCTTTCAACAAAAAGAAGACAAAACAACTAGAGCAGTGCAGCTTTAATTCTTCGTGTGGGAGATGTTCAAGTTTCACTGGGCCGTTACACGTCACACTATTTATAGACGCACTGAGCAGCCTACTAGACTGTCACACAGTTGTGATGTGTTTATATGCAGCCTTATAATCACTAAACAAGACAAGAAAATACTACGTCATACGGACATAAGAATCTCATGCTGAGCACAGCAAAATGTTTGCATTTCACTTGTACTTGGAGGTGAAACTGGTTAAACTCAGCCAATAAACCGCATTCATTCTGCATTGAAGTAAAAATAATACCTTTATATTAATAGTTTACTGTTTGAATAGTCCTGACATTGAGTCTGGTTCCTGTCTTCACTAGTTCTCTGTAAACAGGGTCATCCTCGGCCAGCTGCTTCATGAAAGATCAGACATTTTAACTGGTAGAACAGTTGAATAAACTGTTTTATCTGCAGGTCACTGTAAGGTATCACGTACATTTGCTTTGAATTAAACAATATTACAAATCAACTAATTCAAGTAGTAATAAAATACTATTAGTCTTGTAATATTGAGGGCGTGGCATCTTGTTAAATGTGAATGTAAAATGTAAGAGCGTGGTGTCAGAGGCTGAACACGCTCTGGAAGGAAAAGAGGGAAATGTGATCATAGCTACTACAAATAAAATAAACAACTCTGACAAACTAGTTATGTTATATATCTGTAAAAAAAGCAACACCGTGTTTAGAATAATTCAAATATATAAACGTTTTATATCGGCCAAAGAAAGACCCGATCATGAGATTGTACCACAAATTACTTTTATTTTGAAATAGTCATCATACATGGTTACAACTGCCACGTTAGTAGAAAATAAGAGCATCTTACTTTTAACATTTCCTTTATGTTAAAAAACAACTTCAAACCCAGTGTTATTATTGAACTTAGTAAGGTGTAACGTTAGTCTTATTATAACAGGTGTGGCTGTAGTGTCCAGTGGGACCCGATGAAGGCTTCAGTAGGACTCCAGTACGAACGATTCACCCCGATAGAGTTCAGGAGCTCCATGAAGAGCATCTGTGACTCTGATCACACGCCGCTTTGTGCTTCCACCTCACATCCCTTTTTTCTTTAAAATGCAATTAAATGTGTCAAAATTTGCATTAAGACATAAATGTCTGGCAAATTATAACTCTTCTGTAAACAAGTTAGCTTCCACACTTTTCTGTAACTTCTGACAGCAGGAAGAACTTCTCAAATATAAAACATGGCGTCGGTACGACTTTGTTTGGAGGAGGAGGAAGTAGATGTTTCCATGCGACAGCTTCACCTTTCTCATCTACAACCACTTCTGCCTGTCAGGTTATTACAACAACAACATTTGCAACTTCAAGTAGTTTTCTTTTTCTAAAAGCCGCCTCACAGGAGATACTTTTGTCCTGAGGACACAATAAGAAATCATATCAGGGTTCTCCTCACACAGCAAACACAGAACCCTCATCCCACACGTTGTAGAAACACGGTAAGTTTGTGTTAGTGAACGTACACTCGATACACTTGATTTGGCAGCTGACAAGAAGTATTCTTATCATTCTATGTGTGTAAAATCACTATAGTCACACAGAAAACAAAGCCCTTTTTAAAAGTTAAATACATTGTAATGAGATTACTTCAGTGGGTTAAACTGCTCCAAGTTACAATTACAAATGTAACCTGTTTTGTCTAATGACGTGCATGTCAGACCGAGTGATCTGAGGTCAGTCTGTAAGTATCTCTCTACTTCCACACAAACAGAGGTTTGAGGAATGGGATTGTTGCTCAACAGTCTTCTTAAGACCGAACCAACAACAGTGTTAGATTTAAGACACTGTGAGAAATCACAGTCGTATAGTGTCGTTGGTTACTCTGTAAGGTAGTGTTGGATTCTTTCTAAAGCCAGAGCAGAAAACATACAAACCGACGGCCTGAGCCAACGTTGCTCTGTTATGGAGAGTGTGAGGAAGCCCAGTGTGTCTCATTCACAGTTTAAGTTCGGTACCGAGGACCAGTGAGGTCCTATCTGAAGCCAAACACGGCTCAGTGGATTATAACCCTTTGACACAAAGTCATTTCATTCTGTCTCGTACTTGATTGGCCGACGCGTTGCTTTAACGAGCGTGTTCACATGCTAATAATGTTAATGAGATAAAAGGTAATACTCAGACACCTGTCGTGTCCGCTCCTGTTGTTGTATGAGCTGCATGATCACTGCCTGGTTAAGACCACGTCATAAATCTAAATTTGAGAAATGAAGCAGAAGCTGGCAGTGATGGGTTGTGGATCTCCAGCATGTTTCAAGTTACTGCAGGACGATTTATTTTAATACCGCACAGAAACCAATGAATGAACGTCTGGCTGCTCACAATACATTTGAACTTAAGTTGGCATATTATAGATTTGTAGTAAATAGGATGAAAATGAACACTGGTATGTTCTTTTTAAGTGCCTTGCATTGCAGTAATAGAGGTTTACCTCCAGACCAGGAAGGGTAAACCGCCATGAACTGACGTTTTGATTTTAGCACTAAAAAGAGCAAACAGGTCCTCCATTTTCTGCACAAAAGAGCTTTTAGTAGTTAGTGTTGGTACTTCCTTCCAAGACCAAAATCCACTCCTTTCTACAGTGTTTGTTCAGACTGAGCTTGAAGCTTACAGGTCTGAGTACAGCTCTCATCCAGACTTTGGGAGCGACTAGAGATGAAAGGTCTCCATACAGTCCTAGACCCTGAGCTTTGTGTCGGTTCTGGGGAACTGAACATCGTGTTGGCAAACCAGAGTCTCAGAGGGAAGCGAACTGATGGGGCGGCAGGCTCTGGGTGAGGCCGGGCTGAGGGCTCGCACAGGCACTGCTGGCGAGGCTGGATCCAGGACTCGGAGAAGCAGTCGGGCTGGAGACGGAAGCCGCCTCCGTGTCTGAGCCGTCATCGTAGTCATCGTGGTGGGAGCGGTGCTGATGGGTGACCACCACCCTGAGGAGCAAGAGAGGTAATCTGCTTCATAAACTGTGGAGTGTTAATTACGCCGACATCGTGTTTAAAGCCGTTTTAACATTTAACCCGAGAACTGGAAAAGACAGTTGAACGTAATCTTTTAAAAGCCTTATGTTCAATATTTTGTTCTCTGCATCTGTTAGAGATAAGAAAGCATTATCGGTGATATCTGGAAACCTGAATGTTATATTTGTGATGTGGTTGTGTGTGTACCTTGATCTGGAGGGGCCAATGAGGTTTTGTTTATGGGGCTCAAAACTTGAGATGTAGCTACACTTGGACCACTAGGGGGACACAAAACACAGAGACAGAAAATAAATATAATTCACATTCATTATTTATTCAGACAAAAAAAAAAATCAATGAACTGTCCACGGTTCCTCACCGTGTGAAGAGGGTCACTGGTGCCCAGATGGACTCCTTTCTCACAGAGAGACGTCAGCAGGCTGATACCTGCACGGAGACACAGAATCCACAACATCTGGATTAACTCTGCCAGCTGTTTCAGTGACTTCTCCGCACCTCTTTGTGTTTACTTCCTTCACGTGTCCATACTCTGAGACGAGGAGCTCCTCTGTCTCCTTCAGCTAGGACGGAGATCAAACCTAAATCTCTGCTCGGACGGGGAGCAGCGAGACCCGAACCATTTTGAGTGAAGCGGCAAGTTTTAAAAGGGTCTAAAACTCTAAATATTTACATTACATATTAATAATTATCCCACACCAACAATGTTAGTTGTGCAGCCCTAAAGTAAATACAAACAATCACTAGGGTCTAAAAAAAAGAAGCAAATCCTTAATAAATCAACGTCATATCATTATAGTTAAGATGCAGATCCTTTAAGGAACACACGCACCTTTGGTCCTGTTGCTCCAGTACTTCTGCTCCCACTGGTCCAGCAGGACGTTGAAGTATCTCGGACACTCGAAGAAGCGGAGGTAGCGGGACGACGCCGGTGATGGGAAAATACGTTCAAACTGTCCGAGACGAGTCAGCTCGTCTTCGCTCTCTGCCAGCACGCGGACGTCCTCTGGAGTCAAGACGTCCAACACCGTAGAGAGGAAGTCCTGACAGAGACACAAGGACAGAGTCTTTTAACTTTAGATGAAATGCACTTACTCTGATTCAATGCGTTTATGTTCATTTACCTGCTCGGCGTAGTGTTGGGCGAGGTAAAAGGCACGTTTCACCTTCTCATCAGCAGACAGATTTGGCTTGGTCCTCTCCCTGGTCGCCACACACAGACTGCACACACACAAGTGTTGATTCAACTTGAGGCTGCAGTTTGAGTTGAATAATACAGAAAGTTGTTTCTAAATTGTGACCAGAATGAAGAAATGTCCTGTAGAGTCACAGGACCCGTGTGTAGCCTGTGAGGTGTAGTACCGCCTCCCTACCTGCTGGTGGAGCTGGAGGCGCTACTGCAGGAGGCGACCACGTCTTCTTTTTGGGGAATACGGAAGCCTGCCAGGTTCAGGAGGTCTCTGATCATCTGACCTTTAACTGCAACATCCAGCGCTGTGTTGGAATGGAGGCTGGACAAGAAACAATTAGAAGATGTCATTTAAAAACCTGTGTGTGTGTGTGCATGTGTGTGTGTGTGATACCTTGGTGATATGTTGACCTCCAGGATCCAGGGTTTGAGCTTCTCATCCAGCATGATGTCAAAGCCGAACAGCTCGTGGCAGCTGTAAGGCGCACGAACGTGCATCTTCAGCAGGCTGTTGACGTACGGTTCTGACCTGACAACAGACACACAGCACAATGTTTCAGAATCATTTCATTTAGTTTTTAAATCCCTTCAAACCGAGTGTCTAGTCAGCTCCAGCATGTCGGAGACTTTCCTCAGACTCCCCACCTCTACACCCTGAGATGCATTGGGGGCGGGGGGATAAGGCCAAAATACACGGTATATGTAATGTTACATCACGGTAACAGTTTATATCATGATACACTGATCTGTTCTCTAGATTCAAGTAAGAAACAGTTTACCACACTGTTCTCTTGCACATTTCATTTTTTCCTCTTCTCTTCCATGAGACAACACTTGAGTTAAAAACAAAAACAGTAAAAGTCCGTCAAAGAGGAAGCTTTAAGGTTCCTGAGAACAATCAAGTGTTACAGGTTTAAAGGTAAACATCAACACACTTATACACTAGTTTTGAAGACTGTTTTTATGTTTTTATTTGATTGTAAAGCTCTTTGTCAACTTGTTTTCTTTAAATGTGGTCAATAAATACATTTGGATTGTATTTGGACTATCCCAAAAATGATAGCAAATAATAAAAAAAAGGAACAATATGAATTCAAAGTAGAATAAAAGCTGCCAGCATTGAAATGAGTGAACGGGCAAACTTACCCAATGATGGTTTTGATCACAATGTCTTTAATCTTCTCCCAGATCAGAGTGGTGTTGACTCCCTTAGAACCAAGATACTGCCACAGGGCCTTCAAAGCCCTGAAAACACACACACCCACACCCACACACACACACACACACAGGTTGGAGTTTATGAACACGTGCACACATAAGAGTAACAAAGATGTGTCGAAGTTTCACTTTTGCAAAACATACAAACCATTTGTGTCCCTGACAGGCCTTGTCGTCGCTGTTCGTCTGGTACTCGGAGTTCTTCTTGTTGACGCTGTAGTTGGTCAGATGCATGAACTTGTTCCCCAGAGTCTTCATGGAAGACGAATACCTGAAGAAGAGAAACACAGACGTGGAGTTAGTTATTATGTTCCATTATACATGAACTACTCACTCACTGTGGCGGACGGGAGGAAAACTGACTTGCAGCTGGCGAATCGAACCAGTCCGTCAGAGAAGATGTATATTCGGAGCGGGTCGTAGCAGGACACGTAGACGTAGATCCGCAGGTCAAACTTGTTGCCGCTGATGAGGTAGGGCTTGTGAAGGTACCTGAAAACAAATGAAGTTTGATCTAGCTTCTGGAAAATGGTCACTGCGCTACCGAGTTTCTAACCATCAGCGGTCTATTCTGGTCTACTTACTTCTGGACCAGTAGTGGTCTCTTGCGGGGCATCTGGCTCCATCTGTGGATGACCTGGATACCGATTCCTCTGGCTGAAGCAGGCTGTTAACGGAAACAGAACTTCAACATCACCTTTCTTCAGCATGTTTTTGCCCCTTTGTTTAGAGACTGCTTTGCCTCCACAGCGTTGGCACAGTCACCAGTAAAGTGACACAATGATTATCTACACGCAGAACGTACAGGTTTGATGATCCATTTCTGCCTGGAGCCGCCGTCCTCCCAGGCCTTGCGTAGCAGCTTCATGTCCTGAGGAAGGACGAAAGTGCGGGGGAAGAAGCTGAACTCCTGTTTGCCGAAGCGAACCTGCATCTTGGACAGGTTCCTCCACAGCCGGTCCTTTCTGCCGATCTGAAATGTTCCCGGGAAGTGGTTCAACTAGGACAGGGGGAAAGATACAGCCGAGGTAAGTGTAATTCTTGTCAAGAAACCTAAAAAAGCCGGTTAACGTATTCTTCGTCTCTGCGGTCTCTCACCTTCTGGTGCTCTCCGAGGGCCTTGAAGCCAGGAGACTTCATGTGGTGTCCCCAGCAGCCCAACCAGTCGTGGCTTTCTACATGAACAACAGAGCGAAACACGGATCTTAATCACCCAGAGCAAACGCTAAAATCATTGGTGAATGTTTTGATAACAAATATCCAACCACATCTGTTCTAAGAGGCATCATGCATGAAAATCAGACACTCCGATCGATCAGCCACCTGACGGTATCAGCTGATATCCGTGCTGGATGGTTTGATCGGTGGTCTCTAATAAAGGCCGATCAGATGACGCAAACAAGCAAGATAGTTTCTGTAAACGCTGATAAAATGGACTTCAACAGAGTAGTGACTTTGGTCTCTAAAGCCCCTTTTACACAGTGTGTTCAAGGCGAGACTGTTGCGCCTTTAGTTCAGAATAATGAGATGAGTAAATAATGCCGCAGGATAAATAGAAGGCTTCAAATAGACCTCTTTATATCCACAGCAGCAACGATCTGTGGACGAGAACAGGACGACTACCAGCAGAGGATGGAGGCGGACCAGTGACACAAACAACAGTGTCAGACACCATCAGACAAGCTTTGACATGGAGCCCTCAAGTGAAGAGGAAAAGTACACCTGGTGATCTCCAGGGAGACATCGAGATACAGCCGGTATCAGAGAACTCTTGAGGTCCCTTGCGGACGGCCTATAATCCACGCTGAGGGTGTCAGGCTGGAGTAAGTGAAGGGAATAGACCCTGTGATACTGCTCCCAACAATCAATGATCAGCCCAAACAGTGCTGATCTCCTGATCTGAATTATAAGACGTTCCAACACCCACACCAAACAATCAGCTCAGCCTTAATGATTCAACCCACAGAGCCCGAGTTTACTGTTTGATGTTCAGCAGATATCATGTGTTGCAAAATGTGTCTTGGCAGCGACTCTGAATGACACACAGACGTAACGACTTACTCTTGGTGACTTTGAAGTGCGACCTGCCGATGGTGTGCTTGACGATATTTGGGGTGACGGTGCTTATCTTCCATTTTAACAGTCGTCTTTGTTCCGCTGGCAGCAGTTCCACTGTGGAGCGCACACAACACAGAGTTTGATTTATCTCATAGGAACAAACATCCTGATGCAAATACGGAAATAGTTTACCGCATCTACTGAAAATGATAGATATGTCGGTATAAAGATGTTTACTGCTCAGTTAAATAAAATAATCATATTTAAAATACGATATGACACAACACACTTAACATACTGCCTTTTGCCAAATCAAACAGGGATGTGAAACTTTAGATTTGGCCTTCAGTCTTCAGACAACCAACAAGTTCATCACATTCACTGAAATCTGACAGAGAAAGCTCTCAAGAACTCAGCGTGATGATGGTTGAAGGTTCTAGCTAAATAAAAGGTTTGGTAACAGGTGTTTTTTCATGTAATTTTGGGATTGTTAAAATACTTTCTCTTCCCATCCTCCAACATGACCTCCTGTCACTCAACGCTCTCCCCTGCCTACTGTTAAAGCTACAGTCCGGCTCAGACAACAGACCTTTCTCATCGGCGGTGCTGAAGTAGAGCGTCGGAGCGATGAAGGCGAACAAGCTGGGAACCAAAGCCGGTCTCTCCTCTCGATCATCTTCGGCCCCCAATGACATCGGCTCCTCGACACTGAGAGGAAGAGTGAAGCATTTTTAGCTGTCCAATCTCATTGAAGAGCTTCCATTTCAACAAATACATCAAACCACATCGTCTGAGAAACGTGTCAAAAAGCAACATCTTACAACTGAAGCACGAACTCATTATTTTCTACATTTTGCATTTAAACTCCATCTACGATGATTGTATCAGACTTCTGCTGAAGTCGCTGCCCTGTCAGCACCATAGCTCCGATTACCTCGTCACCATCAAACGAGCAAATTGCTCACAACCAATTAAAAAAGTAATGCGGCTCGAGTTACGGTCACTGGATTTCTAACTGAAGGAAGTTGGCATTCCAGACAGCGGTCTAGTTTGTCACGCGAGTCGAGCGCCCGTCCGTTTGCACTTTACGCCAGTAACACAATGCGTGTGTGAATGTGGGGTCAGAGACACGGACTCAACACAAGTAAAGGAGGCCTTCTAGAAGGAGACTCTCTGTTATGCCTAACATTTATGTTCCCACAAATCTTATTAAACCATTTAGACAGCACGGAGAGCCGAATACAAAATCAACATCAACTAAATAACAAGATGAGAGCAGTTAAGTGTCATTTACTCAAAAAGGCAGTTGCAATTAAGTCCAACATTTCAAAATAACACTACTGTTCACACCTGATAAACAGAAAATAATGAGAATTTACACCTGAAATACAAAAAGAGAGCCACTCACATGACGGTCATATAGGAAGGAAGGATGGATGAACAGCTGGATGAAGGACCGGGCTGATGTTAACCTGCTGCAGGTCTGACAGGTACGCATTGGCATTGCAGCTGGACTCGGCTAACTTGACACTATACTAGACACGAAGGAGCTATAGCTTTCAGGAAAGGGTGGGGAGGTGGTGGGGTGTATGTAAATGAACACAAACAAAACAGCTGGTTGGGTGGGGGGGAGGTGACAATAGCGGCCCCTATCCAGGCTGTTTTAACAGAGAATCAGCTCCGAGTCTTTGGTCGGGAGTTCTATTGTTGAGGCGATCATAGAGGAGAACAACGTGACGCACAATACAGCAGACCTTTCCACCAAGCTCTGCTGCTTTCGGCCTCCTCTAACAATTGCCGTGAGAGAGAATGAGAGAGAGAGAGAGAGAGAAAGAGAGATAAAGAGTCCACAGGTTCTGATGACTTTATTTATTCCGTGTTAGCAGCTCAATTAGACACCGGGTTTGGATGTTGGGCGATCCAAGGAAGAGGACACGGATATTTTGAGGATGCTCAAGGTTGTTTTTTTTTTTTTAAGTACACACAATAAGGAGTATAAAGAAAGCAAAACTTTTGTTGCATTTAATTTGATCTGCCCACCAGTTAAAGTGCATCTTACCCAGAAAGGGGAGCGATGGACGCTGTGGATGAGGTGCCATCGATGGATGAACAGTCTGAATCATCTGAAGACAACAGAGGAACAAAGATCAGAGGTTTACTAAAGGCAGCTTAAGTACTCAGAGCGTGTGTGTGTGTTTGTGTGTGTGTGTACTTTAACTTACCGTCATCACTACATGCATTTTCCAGCTCATCAGGCAGCTCCTCCTCAACTCCATCCACCTGCATAACACAATCGTGGCTGGAAGAAAAAAATAATACGAGGGGAAATATTCAGATCGGGAATTAGACGAATTAGATATATTTATTGAAGCAATTAGCGGTTACTCACCCAGACAGCCGAGTCTCTCCAACCAGACAGTCCTCTGTCGGCGAGGGTGTGGAAGGGAGTGGAGGCGAAGCGGACCCGGAGGCCGGCTGGTCCTGCCCGGTGAGGTGGATGGCCGAGATCTGAGTGGTCACGGAGCCCAAAGAGGCTCCGGCAGGACCGGAGGCCGCAGCTACGAGGAAACACATCCACACGGTGTCTAATTTAAGAGATTAAGGCTCAAACTCAAGCTTCATCAGGACTGTGTGGGAGTGGTTTGATCATAGTAGTAAACAGAGTAAGAAAATAGGTTCTTAGGGCCTTTTAAGAAGATAAAAGGCCACTCTTCACACACATCGTGGCCATGCTTTCTGAAACAAAACTCAAACAATTAAGCTCTGCAGAAGCGCATGTTGTCTTTCTGTTAGATCTTTTCTTCTGTGACAAAAACACAAACGAAACCAAAACTGCCGTAATATATCATGTTCGTTAATGCTACAATATTCACAATAAACATAACTTTGACTCTGATCATAACGGCAGTATTACTAGAACTCCCTGTACTGTATTTCTACAAGACGTACGTTTGAGGTCCTTGAATCTGCATATTCAATAACCAGACAATCTACCGCTCTCTTGTCCTGGGTTTACCACCGTATGTTTCACAGTAGAACAATCATCCTGATTACCTGCGGTGGCATCCAGCGGTGTGGCACTGACATTGGCACTGAGCACAGTTGGTGGGGGGCCGTCTGGACATGGACTGGCTTCTGGAAGACTGACTCTTCTGCATGTGGACAAGGTGCTTCCTGGTGGACACTGACTATCTGGGCCCTTTTTGTTCAGGTCTAGTGATGCTATAGTTAGGGGTTTGCTGTTTGTAGTTGCTGCCAGCGGACCCCCTCTCACCACCAACTGATTGTTTGAAGCAGTCGTTGTTGTGCTAATGTTTTGTGGCGGGCTGCATTTTGGTACTTTGGCTGATTGGCTCCTCCTTGTAGCTGCCGTTTCTCTTGTTGTGCTTCTTATCTCAGTGCTGGAGGCGTCCGTCCTCGGTGGCGCCCCGTGGTGGTCACACAAAGTAAGGCACAGAGGAGGCACCGATGGCAAGCAGGAAGAGTCTCCAGCTTCAGGCTGAGGAGACAAAACAAGGAAAGGTCACATGTGGAGGAGGCGGTAGTAAGTGGACTTAGAGCAAGTTAAATGTAAAGGATTCTGGAACTCCGTAAAAGGCCTGGTATTTGTGATTTTTAAACAATTGTGGCCAAGATTCATACTAACTGGTGTCAGTGTTCTCTGGTGGACAAACTATGTTATGGTGACACTTACCTCTGATATAGTTTGGCATTTCTGTGATGCAATCTATTACAGGCCATCATATACACCGATACCGAAATATAGGGTGGGCTGGCTGGTTTATCCGTCTAGCTCTACATGAAACCATCATTTGTCACTGTAGTAATTGTGACAAAAACATATTCAACACTCACCATCATCTTGTTAGGTTGCTGCAGAGCGGGCTGCCCTTCGATGAACAGGTCTTGAAAACAAACTGAAGAAAGAATCTGCCGTCCCAGCTGCACATCAGCTGTGGCAGCCCGACGCCTGCTCGTTGCTACACCGCTTCCAGGCTGCGAGGTTTGGAGCGACACACCTTTCTGCGTGCTACCCGTCGGCTGGACATCAATCCCAATCTGACGTTCCTCCGTGGGGATGAAAGAAGGGGCACTGGGTTCTGTGAGGCTGCTAGCGGCCTGCTTCAGTATCTGGTGTGGGTTTTGAATCCCATTAAGTTGTTGTGGCAGGTTTGGAGACCCATCTGGCACTGTGGTGAATTGGCTCTGGGCGTTTGTTTTATTTCTGTACCCATTCTCCTCCACAGAACACACAGATGGGGCCACTGTTGTCTGCCTCAAGGGGGAAGCAGACGAGGCAACATCTGAGGAGAGAGGAGGTTTGGCTTGATCCTTTCTCCTGGACAGCTCTAGAGAAGTCGGACTAAAAGGCACTTTAGTGGCCACAACTGCCTCAGCATGCGTACTGACAGAGGTTGTAGTAGTGGGACTATCTGCGTTGGAGCAAGGCCGGAGCTTCGCCCCATCCCAGGGGGAGGACTGGTTGGTGGGCATGGCACCGCTCAATGAAGCTGTGGTTGTTTCTGACGGGCTACGTTTAGGGCCAGAGGTCTTGAGCTGGAGATTAATAGGCAGGATAGGAGTAACAGTCGCGACAATACCAAAGCCTGACGTGGAGGAAGGTTCTCTTCCCTAAAAGACCCCCCTCCTGTTCCTCCTAGTAGCTCCCCTCTGCTTCTTCTGTAGGAATGACTTGTGAAATGTCAGCTCCAGTGGAATAGAGTTGAAAATTGGCTATTGGTCACCGTACAAGTTCTTGATAAGTCCTGACCGACAGTAAACATAACTGCTGCCACAGATGCAGTGACAGCAGTACAACTGGGCCTAGACCTTGAGGCTCAGACGTAAGGTTTTTCTCCTGAGGCGAAGCGATTCCCCCTCTAACTAACAGTCAACCTCAAGAGTTTGTCATAAGGACGAGTCAAAGAGTCTGGAGGACATCGCTGATGCAGTTTACCCTTCCTCTTCTGAACAACTCTGAGGATGAGATGTAAGCTTCAGGACGCCCAAGACTTGGCTCACAACAAGGTGTCGGGTCGTAGAGGAGAAAGTGGCCTCCTTGGAGTTCTCATATCTTCCTCAGTTGATCCACAGGAGGCAATAAACCAACAACTTCCACCCCTGAAAGAGTGCAAGAAGAGAAGCAGATTCAGTCTGAGATAATCTAGTCCTCTAATAACGGGCATTCATCAGAACACCAAGAAGTAATCCCTTGTAGTGAAAGAAAGTCAGACAAAATCGTTCACTACAGACACCAAAGATATCGTGAAATTAGTTAGGAAAACTAATTTTGAGCTATATTTTAATAGTATTAGGGAGTACTGTGTGTCTCAATTAGCCTGCTCAAAAGTAGTATTTTTAATCATAATAACTTTGACTAATTACATAACTTTCACTTTACAAGCCCCCCTTTGAACAATAGCTACTGAGCTAAACTACACTAATAATGTTTTACACCTTGGCTTCTGCCAATTTAATGGCACTTCTTTAACAAACTCATACTTAACAGTCACAGCAGGTGTGCAAAGTTGTTGAGTGATATTTAAAAAAGATACTCCATCATTGAAATCACAGCTATGTGAGCTAGCTAAGTCTGTATAACTAAAGCAAGACATCCATGGTAACGTTACTTTATATTTACAGATGTTGCCAGTGGTTTGTTATCAGTAATTAAAGCAACGTTAGTTTCACACGTGTGCGCGCGCTGCCATGACACGCCGCTTCACGCTTAGCTTACGGCTAGCTTAGCAAAAAACGACCAACACAACACCAACTGCCACTGGGTGTTTCAAAGACTCCCCCGGTGGTAACAATAAAACACAGGCTTATACACAGAAATATATTAATTCGTACTTCGCCACACGTAATGTGCTTAACATGTTGTCCCGTTGGTCTGTCGAGGGTTGAGGTTATTGTGTTGAAGTATCGTTAGCTAACGTTAGCTGAAAAAGTCCGAGAGAAACATCACGACCGAAGATCGTCTGTTGAGACAAGAGCCAAACTCTCCGCCTCACTTCCTGGTTAGCTTCTGAATCAGCGCTGCTTCCGCTTGTCAACAACACCAACATTCAGCAAACGTTTTAAATATATATATTTTTATTAAATAACTACGTAATAACACCAGGAACAAGTATCAGAATAAAATATGATCAAACCATAATTAGCTGAAAGGTCCGAGTGAAACGTCACGACCGGAAGATCGTCTATTGAGACAAGAGACACTCTCCGCCTCACTTCCGGGTTAGCTTCTGAATCAGCGCTCCCTCCGCTGGTCAACAACACCAACATTCAGCAAAAGTTTTTAATATATATATTTTGTTAAATAGCTACATAATAACATCAGGAACAAAGAATAAATAATAAAATATTATAACATACTGAATTAATACCTAATTATATCTTGTGTGCGTTTTGTGTTTTAATAGTTTATTTTACTTATTGTGAATGATTTATTTATGACTTTGAATGATTTGACATCTTGTATATTGATGTAGACAGGTAGTACTTGGCGTTGTATGACTTGCATTCACCATCTGCTGCTTTTATGACATTCAGCCTATTAGTTATTTTTTCTTCGTCTACAACCTAACTTTTTAGAAATAGTTTTCAATACAGAAACAAATGCACACTTATGTATTTAAAAAAAGATGAAATCAATGTAGAGTGCACAACTTGGACTGGCCCCAGAGTGTACAATGGATCTCCAAACACTCTATGAGCCTGAACGTGGTCTGAGATCATAGTCAGCTGCTGTTCCCAGGTCCTGTTTTTTGACTAGGGGTATACACTTCCTAAATAAAGAGATAATACAAGATATATGACGTTATATAGATAATAACAAAAGAAAATCCACTGATAATAAAATAAAGAGAGGTTAAAATAAATATAGAGATGTTAATAGGGAGACAGCCTTCGTCTATAAATATCAACATTACAAAATATAAAGGAGATGGTGGTGAAGTACATGCAGTTGTCATTTAGTTCAAGCATTACAATTGCACATAATGTTCCTTAGTTGTTGGGGATATCACATAAATAAAGAAAACAGAGATAATATCAGTAAAAAAAGTTTTGTTTGTTTCATTAATTGCTGTAGAGGCAACACAACAGTCACTGTGTCCACTCAAACTGCTTCTGTTAGTCCATTACCCTCATTTCCTTGCTGAGGACCAGATGGCTTGTACAACACACATCTCACCACTGGAGGGCTCACTGGAGGGAAGGCCTACAACAGCAAACCTCTGTCACCTTCCTGCCTTCGCTCATGTCCTCTCCTCTCTTGTCTCCACTGGTTTTCTTCGCTTTTTACTCTTCTTGTGTCCCATTTTTTAAAATCTTCTCCTCTCCATATTTGCCTTCCCTAGCCTCCTCACTCTCATCCTTTCCTTTCTCTTTTTGTCTTCTTCCCCTCTTCCTCTGGGACTCTCTTTTCCTCTCTTCCCTCCTCTTCTCTCTTCCTTCCTAGAATAAAATATGATCAAACCATAATTAGCTGAAAAGTCCGAGTGAAACATCACGACCGGAAGATCGTCTATTGAGACAAGAGACACTCTCCGCCTCCATTCCTCTCTTCGTCCCTTCCTTCTTGCTTTTCCTCTCATCCTTTACTCTTTCCTTCCCTTTCCACTCTCTAATCCTCCCTCTTTTCTCTCCTCTGTCTTTTTCCTCAATTCTTCACAGTTTCCTTTCCTTACCGTCTTTTCTTTCTTTCATCCTTTTTCCATCCACTTGACTTTTCTCTTTCTTTCTCTCCTACTTTCATATTTTCTGCCTGATTATCTCATGTACACTCTCCCTGTTTTCTTTCCTCTATCCCTTCCCTCTTTTCTTTCCTTTTGCTCTGCTCCTACTCACCCCTCTTCACCTTTCTCTTTTTGTTCTCTGTTCTTTACCGTTTCCTATCCTGTCATCTCTTATTTTTTTTAAATTTTCTTTTACTTTTAATATCCTCCTTTCTTATTTCATGCCTGTCCATCTCTTGTTTTGTTTTTTAACCCTCTCCCTTCCTATTCCATTTCCTCATACCATTCCTCTGCTCCTTCCATCTCTCTTTCCATCATTCTCACTCATCCTTTGCTCCTTTTGGACTCTTCCCTTTTCATATCCTCCCCTCTATCCCACTGGCATGTCAGAGCTTGCAGACAGAGAGAGAGAGAGAGAGAGAGAGAGAGAGAGAGAGAGAGAGAGAGA